TTCCACTGCAGCACGTAGCACGGTTCAAGCGGGCCGGGCCAAACCAGGCCCGCTTTTTTTTGCTTTTCCACTAGGGGTAGTTCCGCGCCAGGGCTACTTTTTCACCTTTTTTCTGGCCCTCCAAAATCGAGGTTCTTACCGGGTCAACAACCGGGCTGAATATGCTAAACTAATGACGTAAACACTCTCGACTGCTGAATGGTCAGAGAGAATCGCTGGCAAGGGGGCTACAACTACAACAAAATGAACATATTTTACCGTGATTTAATTGTAATACACGTTTCAAAATGATGCCGAAGTAACAACATACTGATACCGGTTAGTAAAAACCATGAATTAATGATTTGACAAGTCTGCAGACAAGACGGCAGGCAAAAAACCTTTTAAAATGCGTGTTTTAAACCAGCAACTGTATTCACCATGACACAGACAGTCTGTGGTTTGTACTTGTTTAACTTTTTTCTATAGTTTCTGAACAGATATGAGGAGCTGTGAGCTCTGAGGGCTAACAGCTAACGGCTGATGTTTTGGTTTTGTGGTTCGCATTGAAGATGAAGTCACGGCAGTTTTACGCAGTGTCGCTCCGCCCGCCGAACAGCCGATCGCCCCGCCTACACTGCGTTACTATAGTTACTACCCTTGTTACTAAACTGTAATGGAAACGCAGCATAAAGTGAGCCTGGCCTACCAAGGCCTAACCATACCATACTAGGTCCTGCAGTAGAAAAGCGCCATTAGAGGATCGCCAAAATCATTAGGATTCGGCCTCTATAGATCATGCATATATGGACATAAAATATTTAGTTGTTGAGATATTTCTCTAAAGGGCACACAAGTCAGCCTGCTTGTGACTAAAAATGACAAGTTGGAATAACCAAAGTCTGAAAAGTTCATCCTCTGGAAACTTTGCATTTCGCTACTACAGTATATGAAATGGCAATCAATCACATATTTGTTGAGCTACTTGGACCAAACTGCAGGACTGGCATTGCAATCCTTAGAGCCACACAGCAAAACACAACATAATCAGTCAAATAGCAAAAGCCAAGGATAGGGAAGGGTTGTTTGACGTCTTCTCAGTGAGCTTGTAGGGCTTCATTATCACTGGTGAACAAGGTTGAACTTAGGATCTTCTTCTTCTCTTTCTTGAGACTCTAATCCATGTCGAAGCTGATTAAACAATCAGTAGCTAAAGCTGATTGGCAGTGAACAATAGACAATGTACGGTCAGTTTGAGTCAGGAGTGATCAAGGACAGGACATACACTATAGTTTTCTTCAGCCACTGAGTGGTATTTGAGAAATTACAAGATTATTGGAAGACTCAACACCTTGTGATTTGCAATATTTCTGTGACTTTAGCAGCCTTACTCTGACCCTTTATCGTAATTAATTTGCCAGAGCCATGTTCTTTAAACAGATGTCTTGTAGAAATCAATCATTTGTAAAACTCTTGCATCAGACATTATTCAAAAAGAATAAGTACTGACATAATAGTCCAAAACTGACTGTCTAGCAAACCCATCAGAACAAATCTGCCACTTACACCATTACCATTTTACCTTGATGGCTTCCAGAAAAGTAGAAAGTAGTCCTAATAAACTGACTGTGCACAAATGATATTGTGAGACCAACATAATTTATCATCTCAGCAACAGTGTAGGGATTTGTGTCTCACAGCTGTGAAGTCCTCTAGTGTGAAATCTAGGCTTATTGATTTCTGCAGGGCTATATTCTTCACAGAGGCTACGGTGTGTTCTCCAGGAGAATTATTTCTCTTTTATCGCTCACTTCGGATCCTTCACCTCTCAATCCTGTGTCGCTCTTCGATCTATCTTAACGGAAAATAACCCTTTAAGCAAGGAGTACCTTGACCCCTCGACATCAAATCAATCCTTATCACGGTGGTGGAGGCAAAGAAAAACAATTCTGCTGCTTAAACGTCATAAAAGCATGACGGCTTCAGGCACAGCCGGGGCGAAGCGTTTCAAAGAGGCATTTCAGAGAGGCGTTTGAAAGACTGCGATGTGGGAGCTCACAGTCTATAGCTATGGATTAAGCTCACAGCAAATAGAAGCATGGAAGAAACAGAGGTAATCTCTTCCCTCTCACCATACCTGTTCCCCCTTTTTTAATCTCCTTACTGAATTAGTTCTTGCAAAGCTGCTCAAACAGAGAGGGGTTTATTCACAGAGGTTAGAGTAACATGAAATGATACTGTCTCAGGTTTCCCCAAAGGTCCATTTCCTCAAAGAGTGATGTGCTGCTCACCTGGATGTTGTCCTCGTAAGCACTCGCTGCCATGCTCAGATTTGCTGCTTGGTTTAAAAAGTGCACGAGGGGCATTCTTAGTAACGGTCCTTGAACTGCAGCCAGAGTAAGTATAACATTTAGCTATTCGCGTATAGATTACACAGTGTAACCTGACGCAGCAGTGTATCATAAAAACTTCATCTTACTCACTCTCTGAGAGCAGCCTCTTGTTTAATTGCCTACAGTGCTCAGGATAATTTACCCCGCGGCACACTGGATTTGCATAAAACTAGTTCCGTTTTGCATTTTGATGCACAGCCTTTGCAGTTTCCCTCAGAATCTCCCACCATAAAACAACTTTCCCACACCTGAACCGCTGCCTAAATATTTCACTCTGCGTTTGCTTCCACTGCTGCTTGTACTGTGAAGATGAAATAATGAGGGTTCTTTAATGCAATATTTCACACTTGCAGAATATTGTAATTTTTCAGCTCCACACCTTGGTATGAGATCATTACCGGTAAGCCTCTGATATTAAGTGTTCATCATCAGAGCTTTCCCCCCCACTCTGACTCTGACTAATGAGAACTGCAAACAGTCACGCTGCTGTTCATAGGCGTCTTTCCTTAGTATGAGCATGATTTTAAATCAAACATAGGGACAATTCAGCCATCTTTGCTGTCGTTTTGTATGTGTTTATGCTGTAACTCAAATGCATTCCCTGAGGATATAGTAAAGTATGACATATTAAGTTACTCACAGTTTGACAGTTTAATGTACTTTCCAGATCAAGTTAAAACAATCTTAGTGGGAATTAAATATAAAAGACTTCAGGTTAACAGATCCATCAAGCTGACTTTATTCAAGCTTGATAAATACTTTTCCAGAAGGCACCTCTTCCCTGACATTTGTAACTTGATTTAATATTAAATAAATGTCACATGCAATCTATTTAGTTTTCTCTATCAATATTTGTTTATAGGGTTATATTTTGGGATGTGGGAATGATCTTGGCATGAGTATTTTGGTGCGAAGGCGGGATACATTCTGAGGGTTTTAACATTTACAGCAGATTTCTTCCCCTTTTTCTATCGATTTTAAACTTTCCCTGACACAATACTTCATAACAAATACAAAGTCACATGCTGTAGTAGAACAGTTCAAAGGGGTACACACTTGTTGGCATAATAATTTACACAACACAAAGCAACATTTTTGCTGTAAGTGTAGGTGGAGTTGGAATTGAAATATGTAATGAAAACAACTGTTGCACAATGCAATGAATATATAATGTCATTGCCCTGATTTCTGCTGATGGAAAGCAGATAAATGAAGCTGTGCTGTACTCTGCAGACCTGGAAGTCCCCACGCTGCACACTGGGAAACACATACAACACACACACTGACACACACACACTCACTGCAGGGTTTAAATAGCTGGGGCACAGGACAGGGGAAGCACTGCAACCCATATTTCAAATATTTACTGTACACTTGTGATATGTTGACAGTAATCTGACAATGAAATGCAACTTTCCACTTTGAGTTGAACTTTTGGGATGATGTCCAACATGGTGAGAGTAATGGACAAGTTGTCAAACCCTGAATGATGATGTGTGTGTGAGAGAGTGTGTGCCTGGCATTTATGACCAGTGACAGCACAGACACGCATGATGTGGCATCTGCTCTGGCAGACTCACAATAAAACAGAGCCTTGTGTGACAAAGTGTGCCAACAGCGAGAGAGAATGATTTCCCCCCCCACTCTTTTTTTTTTTCTACACCAGCTTCCTTCCTATGGTGAATTCGGGCCAGAGGTGGCGGAAATACGTCAGTTATGTGGGTTTCTCTGAAGCTTCACTGCGTCTCTTAATTTCGGATGAAGGGAATGAGAAGGGGGTGGGGGGGGGATTTTAATCACTCCTGTCGCTTTAAGGACACTTATCAGAGCCTTCTTATACGAATAGAAAATACCACGAGCCACCGAGCAGCCAAAGGGACGGACCGGAGTGGATTTATAGGAAACTCAACATTATCTCAACTGGAATAGACCGCTTCATCGCCTCATGGAGTTTGGCCACACACTGGATGTCTTATTCGGATCATTTAGGGAATATTGCGCATAAGTAGCTCTCGGACTTGGGATCCGTTTGAAGCGCAGAGAGGAATATGGGGATTATTCACTCACCCAGCAGACAGCACCGATAGCCTGCGTACTTTCCTCGGCAGGCGGGTTTGTTTCGGACGGATAGTATCCAGAGCTCGGTGTCTGACAGCCCTGGATCATGGATCGGGGAGGTGGAAAACAACAGCGACATGATTCTCTGTCTGCGGCATGCAGCGAGCCCCGGCTGTAACATCGCTTCTTATTATTCCAACAAAAGTTCCGAAGCGGCTGTACGGCGTATATTTTAACTATTTCACCGTGTTTTGCACCTGCTTTAGCGGACACCGCGTCGACACAGTGCGGATTCGTGACAAAATAACGCGTCTTCCCACCGCCGGGAGTGGGATACTTGAACATTTATCGTAATGGAGATTTGAGAGGTTTACACTGAAGGTCATTGAGTGTTATTAGTCTGTGTTTGTTATTCACGCACAGCGCTATCTTTGCGTTTTTAGCGCGGCAGCCTGCAATTGTCAGTTCAGTGTGTGTGTTTGTGAGTGTGTGTGTGCGCGAGAGTGTGTGCGTGTGTTGTTATTACACGGTGCAGCCAGGCGAGCCCCCCGCTGTGGAGTTATATTTACATTTCTTTTCGACAACATGGATGGGAAATTGAAGCAGGGGGGTCGCAGGGCCAAGCGGGAGAGGGTGCGGAGGTTGCGGGAGGCAGGAAGCAGAGACAGCCCCAACTCCTCCTGCTCTGACCGGGAGGGAGGACTCAGTCCGGGGAGGGACGCCGCCTCCCGGCCCGGTAAGAAGGCGCCGCGCCCCGCAGCCGCCGCCAGAGCCCCGCGGCCCCCCCGCAGGAAGAGACGGGAGTCCAGCTCGCAGGAGGAGGACATCATTGATGGATTTGCTATCACCAGCTTCATCAGCCTGGACCGTCTGGAGGTAAGCAGGCTCTGGATCATTACCTGTGTGTGTGTTTGTGTTGGTGTGTGTGTGCATTTTTCATCAGTGGAGTGGTTTCTCAAGTGGAGTTCCCCCCACCCACCCACTCACAAGCAACACAGGACTTGTCTAATTGGTCTTCAATTGGCTTGAGATGATGCCAATTAAAGACATGGATGATCATGTTTGTTGTAGTCATGTCGTAGTGAAGATCAGGGGTTTGGAGAACCTACAATTCACACATCATGTCTTAATTAGGAACACAATTATAAACAACACATAAGCTTTAGATCATATGTATTAGACACAGGTGCTGGGTTCGTTTGCTTTATGTTAGACACTTTAATCTTTAAAAGTACATTCTCAAAAGTGGACTTGCCTAATTGGTTTCCAATTTGTTGGAGATGGTGCCAATTAAAGACATGGATAATAATGTGGGTTCTTATCATGGCATAGTGGAGATAGGGGTTTGGATCCCCCCTTTAAAGGTCTCCCTTATCAATACTTTGGTTTTATTCCCATCATATAAGGTTGCTGACAGTAATACTAGATAATATGAGCACTAGTGTTCCGTGTGTGTGTGTGTGTGTGTGTGTGTGTGGAATCCTTGACATTAAAGTGTCTGACGATCATTGTTATGTAGAATATTATACGTTTAAAGCTTTGTGGATGAGATGTTAATCATTGGCAGTGTATGGTTTGATGAGGAAGATAAACCGGTGCTGCTGTCTGCTGGTTTATTCTCTGATTCACTGCGAGTTGTCAGTGCACTCTTGACATTGTGCTCTTTGATACACCACCATTCATTCACGTGTTACAAGCTGCTGTGCTGATAAGTGATTCTGTCATTACTGCGTTGTGGTATGTCTGTCAGAGAGGAAGGGAAGGAGGTTCTCTTGTGACATCTTGTTTTATCTCATTAAGTTTCCAAATAACAAATACAACTCCCAGAGGTGTGTTTTTTCCCCCCATGGCTCTTCAATGTAAATCCCTAGCTTTAATAAACATACCTAACATTCCCACTGTATATTTTGAGATGACCTCATTTGAAAGCCGGTGCCACATCATTTCAATGACAGCCTCCATGCAGGCTTAGCGATGGTATTAATCAGTCATGATTGACTCTCTCCTCCTACACAGCGCTTAGTCAGTATAATGGTTGAATGCAGATTTACAGCAAAATAACTGCATGGAAAATAAATCAGCTGTCCACCCGCACACACAGCAGAGAAGATTCACTCCCTGCTGTTAACAAGTTTAACCTCTCCAGGTCATCACTAGTTAAATTGCTATTGCATTTAGCTCATGGTTCCTAAAGTGGGTGTGAAAACAGATAAACAAAAGGAGAAGTGTTTAACTATAAATTGCTATCCTGTAATTAATGCATAGATATAGCAGACGCTAAACACAACCAGAGCATTTCTGTAGCAGTTATGGATTACAAATATTACACCTCATAAACTCCTATAATGATGCCATAGATTGCATAGCATCATAAAGTAGGATAAACTCCCCATTAGTAGCACAGTGAGCGTATGCAGCACAGCAGAGCAGTGCTTCCCTTAGATAAACTTGTTACTTGTTATCAAATGTACATGAAATGTGTGTGTCTGCGCCCATTCTGTGTGATTTGAGTGCAGCGTGCTGGGAGTTTTTCTGCCCTTTGTGCTGCCACCTCTGACAGCTGCTGACTGTGAAAGACTTTTAGGATGTCATCGCTGCAAAGTGCTTCTATTGTTGCTTCTTCTGCTCTCTAACCTGATGCTCTGTTGACTTTAAGGATCTAACGTGTGCATTTGATGCTGTTAGAGATAAATCGTGATCACACTTTACAAACTGTCCTGTTTGGGCTGTAGAGCTTGTTGTGTTTCCACTAATGTTTCTTGCAATAATGTATAAGGTCCTTCCCTTTAAGTTACACACTTTGACAGTTGAATGTTTATATATCCTGATTTTGTTAAAGCAATCTTGCTGGGAATTCAACTTTTGATAAAAGATGGCAAGTTCACAGCTCCAGCAAACGGATTTGATTCCATCCCAGAGGAATAGAGCAATTTTCCAGTCAAGCAATGCATTATGCAAATACTAACCAGGCATTTACAAAGAAGGCAGCACTTCCCTCCCCTCTGTAACTTGATTTAGTTTTAAATAATTCACCTGCAATTTATCAAAAGCAGTTTATACATATATACTTCCATGTGGGATTGATGATGCATGCAATGAGTATTATAGTATGACGAATTACTGGATAATTCTAAAAGTCTGAAGGGTTTGATCATTTACAGCTGAAAAACATACGTTTTCCTACTACAAAAGTACCTTAAAACAACTGCAAAGTCTCATACTGTAAAATAGAGTATGAAATTAATCTAAAGTAGTGTTCCACGTTTGCATATTAAACCAACATAATTCTTTACATTCATAAAGGCATGAATAATAATGCATTTACTGTACGTGTAGGTGTAGTTTAACCCAGCATGGGCAGTGAAATATATACTTAAAGCACACTTTAGTTCACACGTTGGACATCTTGTTCCTGCTACTGTTGTTTGTAGCTGCAGAGCATTTTGTGTTTCTAATAAGGTTTCTCGTTTGGACGCTTTAATACTATAAACATGCTGCCTTTGTGTGTTTGTGGAGAGGAAATTAAGTGAAATATTTGTTCATAGCAATAATAGTTGTTATACTCAAGTGGTAAATCCATGTTGAATGAACACATAGAGAACAGCGGGCTCCATATAAGAGCTTAAGTTTCAAGGCTGAGCAAATGAGGCATGATACGGCTCGATGTGAAATGATACTCACAAGCCAGATACTTGTTAGTAATTGGTCTGATTTGCATACAAATGGACTTCGCTTATTAAAAGATGTTGGTGTATTTGATGCAATTACATGAGGGAATGTGCCTCGATTTCCCCTACATGCGGAGACGGAAATGAGCTTTTTGTGTATATGCGGTTGTGGTTTATACATTGCATCGCTGTGGATGAAATGCTACTGGAAATGCCTCCTGATTGGTCACACTTTCACCTCCTCACTGTATGCTTGAGTAGAGCTCATGACCTACACTACCTGTGCTAATTGCTCATCAATTATGAGGAGGACACAGCGACGTCTGACCTATTGCATCACGCTCGGATAAGCAGACAGACTGTGTCCCCCCCCCGACCTCCTCCAAGTGACTGATGGCCGGCACGTTGTGTTTATGTCGGGCCGTACAGTCAGACTGCTGTCTCATTAGCATTCTGCCAACATCACCCCCCCCCCTCTCTGGGTTCACTGAGCCCACATGGCCAACATACTAATATTTACTTGTTTCTTTTAATCTCCATCTAAGCCCGTTGCTGTGCTCACAGGACTCGAGGATGATCATGTTTTATAAAGCCCCCGTCACCTTTAGGTTGCTGTTATGTGATTGTCCTATTTTAATGTGCAGCAGCTACTGGCAGTGGGTAAGAGCCGAGGTTAGGGTTTCCTCCCGGAGCACTTTACCTCTAAACACATTTGTTGGTTTGTTGTTGTTGATATTCAGGCTCTACGCTGATGGGATCAAGCTCCCTGATGAAGGCTCAGGCTGTACCGTGCTCCTCTAACCTGTTTCATTTGCAGCCAAAAGCAATTTGAAGCATTTATGGTGTATTTATTTGCTTTGAATCCCAGCAGTTTCTCATAGGAAATCCGCGTACTTACCTGTGCAAATTGACTGTACAAACACAGCCGTCCTGCTGTGACACCTTATTGTAATTAGAGAAATGTAAGGGATAATTCAGTGATGATTCAAACATTCAGTCTGCTATTGTTGGCTTTGCAGAGAGGAAGAAAAACCTTGTTTAGTTTGGTTGGCTCACTTACTACTCCTGTCATTGCTTTAGATATATTTAGCTATTTAAGGTAGTTTGAATGATTCATTTCAATTCCACAAATGCTGATAAGTCAACCTCCTAGAAATGGAAATGTTTTCACCTGACATCTGCGCTGCAAAACAATTTCACCGCTGCGGCTTAGAAAGTCTCCCCGTGGGTATCGAACGAGCGAGCAGATAATAAAATGACACAATTATCCATCTGTCACGGTATTAATAAGATGTTTGATTTGCTCCATTTGCTCTGTGAGTGGCGTCGGAGAGGCAAATCCCCTCTTGTTAATCCACAATCCTTCTGTTCATCTGCTTTAACATGAATTTACAGATTTGTTTGGGTATTTCGTTCCGCAGCATGAGTTTCTAAATACACTCTAATGGGGATTTAGGTTTAGTTGATTTAGTGATATTACAACATTGTCGAGGGCAGGAAGCCGAAAGGCCGGGTAAAAATGGGTTTGATAAATAAATAGAAGCTCTTGATGGGATAGAGTCTTTTTATTTATCCAGGGAAGTGTTGCTAAACATGATTGCTCTTTCTCTTCACAGCCCGGCTTGACCCACTTACACTAATCATCATCTGCTGCTGGCCACTGGGCAGCTCTGCCTGAGCAATATGGGGACATTAAGTCCCTCGCCCTAGGGGAGCTCGACAGTTGTTGTTAGGGAAGCTGCGAGTTGCAGATTTACTCTCTCCACCCATATTTCCCCAGCTGGTATATGGAGCTACGCCAGCGACATTCCTCTCACAAGCATGTGTCTTTCTATTCTTACAAGTGCTCAGATGAAGGCTTCAAAGGATTGTTTTGGAGGGTTTCTCGTAAAGTAACCACACTTACACATCTTACACTCAAGTCCCATCACTGTCGTTGCAGGGCGTCTTACTGCACTCAGATAGCACCATGTGCTCCTTATTAACAGTCATTAGTACATCTAACAATCAAGCGTTAGCCGAGTGTCACAACATTACATATTTAATTATTGAACCAGTTTAAACATCGTGGCTGCAGAGATTAATAAACCTAACACCTTTAGAGCTTCAGCGGAAATATATTCTTTCTTGAGATAAAAGAAGATATATTATGATAATATTCAGGTGTATATCAGTATGTAGTGTATCTACTTTAAAGAGTCCTCTCCT